ATAGTGCGTCGGTGACACAGTGGTTAGGACTCTCGCCAACCATGCACATGGTCCGGGGTGCGTTCCCCTGCCGACGCACACCTGATATCTATGGTCGGCCTGCAAAATTTGGGCTACTGATATCGCACGCTGAAAATTCCATACTTGTAAAGAAAAATACGGTGTGGAATCAAGCTGTAATCAAAAATATTCAAAAAAAAAACAAACAGTAAAAGCATTCCATAAATTCTGTCACTTGTAGATATTCAAAGGTCGTTGATAGTCTTATGGAAAGGCGTTTTTCTCTCTAAGAACTCTCACCATGGTACCAACTCAGTGTTTTTAGACTGCATCCTAAATGAGAGATCAAACTTCCCTTTTTATTCATCTACCGAAGACTCGCTGTTAAACCTTAGTGACTTGAATTTATTTCTGATCAGCTGACTAAGCTGAAAGTTCAGAAACTGTGAATTCATCAGATAACATTATATTCAAGTATTCAAAATAACTCATTCAACACTTCAGCCTTCTGATGAACTGTTACTGTTTACAAATCTTGCAAACGTTTATTTACAACTTATTTTCACTGGGTTTGTTTACACTGTAATCATCTGAAAATTAGAAACTAAATTAATTTAATTCTGACTTAATTTTTGAGAAGTAATTCGTATAAAAAATGAATCTGTAGGAGTAAATCTGATTTACAGGAAGGGAATAAGTACCGACTCTTATTACCTTTTATTCACTGAGACTTTTGAAGTTCCAGTTAACACAATGAAATATCTCACCGCTGTCTTTGTGGTGGTAGCATTTATCCACTCCATTTGACAACTACGAAAAATCAAGAAATTTACAAACGTTGCTGCTTCCTAATTCGCTTTGCTCCCATTATTCATAGAAGGTAAGGTAAACCAGTAAATTATAAAGACGTTGACCTTACGTTGAAATCTTGGACAGAATATGAATTTCTGTAACAGATATGCCTTGTTGATAAGCAATGTCAGTGAGTACTCCTGACTAACTTCTAACATTCTGCAATTAGAATTCTATATTTATTTTGACATTTCGGTCACTACTGAGAAAAAATCCCAACAGTCCCTCCCACTGAAGAAGAGGTGGTTTATGTAGTGAAAAGTGCACAAACATTTTCTAATGATTCCTCAAACACTCTAGTTGTGTAATGGTTCAGTCAAACAGCGTTCAAATTATCCCACAGTATTCTTAACATATATGATTAAAATATTTATAAGGGCTTCGAGAAGTGTCAAACAATACAACTATCACAGTTATCAGTTGAAATTTATACGACTATTAGTATTAGTATTACATTCAGTCAATGGATTTGTTACGCATTCTGTTAAACACCAAAAAGAATGCAAATTAGCTATTCATTTAGAAAAATTGATGTTTTAAACATATCGCTTAAACTTGGTACATGTTTGTTTTCAAGATGGTACACAGATTCTACTTTCCAGACAATTTCAGTGCGATGGAAACATTTCTACACTAGTTGAATTATTTTTCGGAATAATTAATGTTATGGTATGATAACAGTGATAATAAACGTGATAGTATGACAGTTAATATAGTAAGATGTTGTCTTTATCATACATGTATATTTGGTAATAGATTAAGCCAGTTAGTTGATAAACACTAGTTTACAAGAGCCTTGATTTCAGTCAGCTAAGTTCACTAACTTTTTGAGACACGCTAGAAGCCAGTTACCCTTGAAGAATGCCTAATCATCCAACCGCTGTATAATTGTGTGAAGAAAAGTCTAAGCTTGTTGTAATCAGACATAAGGGATATTCGAATTGGAACAAGTTAATGCTTAATTTTACTGAACTGTAGCAACTAAAACGGATTCACTGTTGTTTGTTTATAATTTCTCTTTGGTTTTGAGTAACTGATCCAAAATATTTAGGTGTATAGGCTCCTTGAACAAATGCCTTGATGTTGTATGTCTAGTAGACCAGTTCATAAAGTCCAGACACCCAAAATAGGTCAACAGACTTCGTTTAGCGTTATCAGGTAAAACTCTCAAGTATTAACAAATAATATCCATCTGCATATAATATATAAATTTAAAGAACTTATTTTTAATATTTGGAAAAGCAATTAATATTTCTCGCATCATTGCTGAAAGACAATAATTAGTATGATGGGTAATTAAAACAGTTTTGGTCAAAGTATTAAGATACAATATGCATTTATTTAGCTTAACACTTGTCTTATAGTGATGAAGCTCATTACTTCAGACAGCTTTAAGCATGTTTAATTGATTTCACTTTACCAAATGTCGAGTAGCTGTTAAAGACATTCTAAACATTCACTACATGAAAGGTAAATGAAGTTTTGGCGAAACCAGAAAAACTATGGTTATTAGCTGGCGTGTAGCATCAAAATAAAAAACTGTACGTATGTATATGTGTGAGCAGTTGCGAAATCTGCATAAAAATAACACTGAAACACCTATTTGTAATTTGAGACAGAAGTTCTATAACCCTTACGAGATTAAGCGACAATAATGCAAGCAACTTCTTATTGTTGAAAATCAACACATGATGTTAAAGGAAATTGTCTTTTGTCACGTAGACATTTAAATTTTGCCTTAATCTATAGTAGGTGAGTTTAATAGCACGTACTGAAGGACATATTTCAATAAGTCTATGAATAAATCTTTACACTGAAGTCATTTCTATAAGTATCCTGTTTCAATACAACTGTTTAATGCCAATTCACGTAAACAGAGATACACAGCTGTTATATTGTTAGAATTATATTGACAGCATGAAGAAATAACGTCGATAAGTAGACCAAACCTGTTTTCTTTAATTTTTCATCAGACTAACCTTAACTTCTAAGCATTATTTTCATTTTAATAAACTTCGATCAATACTAACCTACTCACCTTGCCTACTTTTCTGTTGAGTTAAAAATCCAAGTGAATTGTTTTGATGACTAACTCAGTAAGGTCAAAACTCTTCTTCAAATTAAATATACGAAAAAATCGATTAGCTAAGCTGAATAAAGGAAACAAAAATTTTTAATTTAAGCACTTTACTCTCTATTCATTGCTTTGGATTGGACTAATAGGCAATTAGAAGAGCACTGGAGAGTTGCGACTTAGCTCTGTCGGTAACAGTCGGAAAGACTTATATTCGTTTTACTGAATAAATACACTTAACATAAATCATTTGAAGCCATATAAAATGAATCATAATATTAAGATACATCTGGAATGATTTGACTTCTGTTTGAAGCCTTTAATTTGTTAATTCTAGCAAGTGTATGAGTTTCTTGCATAGGTGCCGTGATAACGAAGTAACCCTGTGCTTACCAAATGTCAATGATGAGGCTACTTGAAAATCATCATTAAGGCCAAATGGTGATATGTAGAGTGGAATTTTTAAATTCCCCTTTGCATACCAGGACAATTTTAAATAAAAAAAGTAATACCTGTTGAATAAGAGTAGTCTAGTAGTATGAGTAGGGAGTAGCCTAGGTGTGAGTGGTCTAGTGATACTCGAAGTTATGGTTTTTGTATCTAGAACTTAATGCAAACATGACTACCGTTAACGATATGCCTACTTGACAAGTCTCAGGCAGACTAAGACTCCTACTACTAGCCAACGTCGACAGGTAGTTTAGGGTATCCATCTGAACAAAATTCAGTGTATAAACCAAAAGTAATTTTCTGTTTTTCTCTTTCGTATTCATATAATGTAAAAATGAAGCTCAGTCACATTCTAATATATATTTTGGATAACAACGAAGGTCTCCATCGCACCATAAATTCATTTCGAGTTTATCTTCTCACTAAAACATATTAATTTAACGTCAGATACTTTAAGTTGTCACTATCTTTCGCGGAAATCATTGTTAGCTTATCGGCTTAATCACTGAAACAGTAAAACAGCACTCACATCATTCAGCTATGATAGAAAGTTTTATTTAAATTTGTCTCAATGATATGCTTCAGTTGAGTAGTTTGGTTTGACTGAAATAAGCCATTTTGTAGAACAGTTACGAAGACACGATTGATCGAGTAACGAAATAAGCACCGCATGCTAAGATAATATTAAAACTAAAATGCTTTCATATACTGAACAACTCAGATGGTGGTATTTTCTCATTTTTGAGTAGGTTTACCTCACTAAACAACTGTTATATACGTAAAATTAGGCAACCCTATTACTAACGTTACTCAAGACGTTCTTACTGATATAATCTCAAATAAACAGTCATATCTAAGTAATCTGAGGAATTCAATTTCTTCAGCTTAAAATTTCAAAGTGTACTGTGTTTGTGTATAGTTGAAAACAAATATAGTGAATGCTTGGCTTTTAGACTAATGATGTGGTTTCGTCTTCCCTTACTGAGAAAACTAATCACTTAAAGAGAAGGAGATTAGCACATGGGTGTAGCTGCAAGAAAATTCAGTCTTGATTTTCGATTTAGATGCTATCTGAACTAATTCAATTTATCTTATCGAAAGATTATTCCTGACATACATAATATAAGTGCCCTACATAGACGCCTTATTTACATATTGTCAAAACATTTACCATTATTCTAATGAAGAATCTAAAATTACAGCTTTTCAAATTTTTTCGAAGTTGCTTTACCAAGTTAAACAATTAAAATATATTCAAGGTGATTTTAAATTAGACTGAGTTGAATTTTGAAGTTGAGTGAATTTTTGATAAATATTAAGTTGAAGTGAACACGTTTTAAAAGATTTAAAATAATCACATTTGGGAATAACCTATTTATACATTACCTCTTGCCAAATATTCTTCTTTCACAGCACTTACACTTACACTAGTGACTAGTAACACAAAATACCAAAGATAATTCGCTTTACTAGTAAGTATTTCATCTTAATTCAAAATCGATATAGGAAATATGTATCTACTCTAAGCTGTGTGAAGTAACTTCTGACAGCATACAATAGAAGAAATCAATGGACATCACATACTTGAAGAAAAATGTAAAAGTGTACCGCATTACAGTCTTACCTGGCTCATCTTCAGTGTCATCAGTGTCTTTAAAAGATTCTGTACAATAAATAGATAAAGCTAATAATTCTAAACACAGCCATATGGTTCCATATGTATAAAATACATTCCGCATCTGTAAATATACAAGTAATTCACGTAGAACCGGTTAAACTTTGATTTTAAAAACGACAGTATTCTGTTTGTACATTATATTGAATTACATCATTGATAGTGGAGTGAGTTAAGTGTTCGTGAATGCATTATTTGAAATGGAATTATATTTTCATGAAATAACTCAAAGCAATTCCGTTTATAAATCAGTTAAGGGAATTTGGTATTCAAATGCACATTTTTAACTGATATGATGCAGTTGACATTGTAGTCTTATAATCTCAGACATTTGTCACATTATTTTTCTTGTTCTTCTTTCTTAAACTGAATATATATATATATACGAATGTGTGCATATATCCCGTTTATTATCTAATCATAATGATGTTGTGTGTTCTTAGGTTCCCTACTTCATACTTAGTCTGTCTTTACTAGCCTGTTCATCATCGTCATGATAATCATCATTGTTATTTTGAGCCCAGGGCTGGAATGATTCTTTGACTGACTAATAGAAATCAACCTATCCATATTCACTGTCTAAGCTGTTTGTTTGTTTGTTTGTTCACTGTCTTGCTTACTTATTTGACTAACTGACCAAATCTTGAGAAAAATTTTCTATCCCTTGTAAAAATTCTCTTTCCCTTCCCATCTCATATATTTAAAGTGAAGATGAAGAAGAAGAAGACGAAAACGAAGACAAAAAAAAGATGATTTAAAACAATCATCTTAGAACTATTTTCTAGGTTTATTTGTGTAGGATTTGTGTCTATCGCTTCTTGTGTGTGTGTGTGTGTGTTATTTATTGATAAAAGTGGTGAATCTTGAAGTGAATTAATAAGACAAACTGAGGTCAGTTTTTGTGGAATAACTCATAAAAGTAAGTATCAATCCATGCGTCTTCATCATGTCTTGAACATGCAGTCATTCCTATATTTTGTTTTATGTCTATAGGAAGACTGAGGTTGTCGTTATAAGTAAATAGACTGTATACTTCTGATCTTTACGGGAGAAGTATAAATTCGTCAAGTGCAACGAGGCTGGTATGTAAGCTTAGTATTAGTAAGAAATATAAACAACATGGTTTAACTGACATTGTTGTAATGTCTGCAGAAGGATTTAAGGTGATAACAGTAAATAATCCCATACTAAATAAGTTTGACCCACGAAATGTTATCCAGCTAATAATACTGTTTTAACGAGTTGATCACGGATTGATATCAGTTACAGAACCACTGAAAACGAGGGAGTACTGGACAGCTGTTTCATCCTAGTTTGGGAATGATCGGCAGTACGCACCCACTGGGGTTCGAACCCAGGACCTTCCGGTTACAAGGCAAGCCCGTATGCCATTCAGCCACTGGAACCAAATTAGGATGAAACAGCTGTCCAGTACTCCCTGGTTTTCAATGGTTCTCTAACTGATATCAATCCGTGATCAACTCGTTAAGACAAAACTAACCCTTACAAACCAAACTATGGATAATAATACTGTATTACTGCGTTTTAGATCAAATAAACTTATCTGGTATAGTATTATATTCTATCAGTGTCTAATTTCTACCTTGTACTTTAACAAGTAATAACCCTGATATACCGTTTGTTTGGCAATAATTTCTATACTCAAATATATACCAGTATACAGAAAATTAGTGATATATAAAAGTAGAAATAGGCCTGGATCATTTACGTTCACACTTCCTACCAGCTTACTCTGTTGGCCAGATATATCGGTCTACAGCATCAAAATCTGTTGATGCAGTGAAAAGCAGTGTAATGTAAGAGTACTCTAAAAATTGAAAGATTTTGAACTCGGATCCTCACCTTTCGTTATAAATCAGTTTCTATTCTTTGTAGGATTGCTTATGTGTTTCTTAAGAATGTGCAACAAATTCCACTGAAACTTTGTTCAGAGAAGTCGAGTAAGATACGTAAATCATTTTAACTTCAATGTTCTGCCTAATTATGTAATAAGGTTCATATGACAACCAGCTAATGCTTGACATACTTACGCAAATTTGATCAGTTCATATATTGAAGTAAAATGAACTAAGTTAATATAGATAAACACATTAAGTAATATTTTTACATCATTTATATCATAGCTTTGTATACTCAGTGTATTATGACTGCATACGAACTACTATATTTTTAAAATTCCATTACATTTCCATTGGAACATCGGGCTTCAAGCTAGCGGATTGGAGTTTCGGTAGCATTGGCGTTTATTTTTACGGGATGGCGTTGCTAGCCTCAGGCTAAACCTTCAATCTCTACTAGTCTTATTACTGACTTAGCGAATGCGTCGGCTAAAGGTCGAAACCTGAGTCACAGCTGTGGACGGCGAGCAATCTACAGCTGTGCCACGGATGCACAAACTGCTATTAGAGGTACGAAAAGTAATATAGACTTTTACCATATATTAAGATACATATTTTATTGAAAATCGATGGACATTTTGCTGAGTTAAGATGTAAACAGGTAAAAATTTTTTACCTGTTTTCCTTTCAGTTTACTGGGTCGAATTAATTATCTCCCATCTTTTTTCAGATGTATTTAGCGGTAGAAACACCAGAAATCAACACCATTAAAAATACAAAAACCAGTGTCAGTTACGGGAATCCAGGTAAGTGAAACAAAGTGTACTTCTTATAACTTCTAGTAAAGACAATAAAATGAATGAAAGGATATTGACATGGAGAGTTTGAAATATGATGAAATGAGCATTGTCATATGTCACTTTCAATTATTACTGTATTCAAAACCAATGAACAGGTTGTTTTATTAATTTGAATGTATATATATATATATGAATACATTTTTTTCACTCTTTGATTTCCAAGAGAAAATAAGGCTTGAGGCTTTTGAATTTTCAGTAGCAGTATTGTCGTTTTTACGGGGTTGCTAGCTTCACGCCAAACCTCAACTCTTCCGGATTTATTATCGGTTAGTGAATTAAAAGAAGTCTTGGAACATGCCAGCTGTGAGTTGAATCTGGGCCACCTGAGTGGCTGGTGGGTATTCATCTGTTGAACCTCACACTACATCAGTATATTAGGTAATACTGAATTAACAACAAATTGTTATCGCTTTCTCAGATACATATGATTGTTTTGACAGGGAGCTTAATGATGACATAAGTGTAGATCATTGTCAGTATGGAGATATCGTTTACTTTTCTTTCACACTGTTCTAAAAATGCTTCGTTTATTTTAAGAAAACAGAAGTTACAAACAGATTAATATTAGCCAGTCAATCTTAGCTGCTATATTGATATACAACAAACAGTGAGTGATTGGAATTTGCAGAAATGGACTGACAGTGGGGTGTTCTTAAACTGACCTTTCAGTATCGGTCACTTACATGACAGCTGGGCGTAACCACTGACGATAGCAGCAAAATGACGCCTACAATAATATTTGTAAAATAGCTGAAAAATACTGGCATGATAATCCCGACGCCTCTAGTTTCAATACATTGCGATTCAGGTTTTCATTTCACTTTTATACACTACCCATTATCTCAACAACAATATGTGTCCATGACTAACCCAGAAAGCCTTATCAACAAAAACGTTTTTAATTCTGATTACAAAATTTGATCAACCCTAGACGAGGGGGACAGCTGTTTCGTCCATACTGTTTGTGACTCTTCATCAGTCCCCACTCATGATCCCACCAGGTGTCGAAGCTAGGGTCTTCAGGTTATAAGGTAAACTCATGTACACTCCGGTCACCTTGCCGCAATCCAGTCCAGCATGTAAGTCCTGAGTTCGATCCCTGGTGAGATCACGAGTGCGTTGTACTAAAGAGTTGCGTACAACAAGGACAACATAGCTGTCCAGTACTCCTTGGCTCTCAGTGGTTCCCTGAATGAAGTCGATTCATAATCAAAACTGAAATCAATCAAACCTGCCAAAGGAACACTTAAAGAACGTTTTTACTGATGAAATGAAATAACCTCACTCATCATCCAGAACAGCTTTTTCCTTTACGTTCTGTCTGAAACACGAATATAAATCATTATCTTTTGTTTTGTTTTTGACGATATACAACTTTTCATATTCATCGGGGTTTTTGCAAACACGCTCCCCGGGATGATTTATTACACATAGTTTATGTAGAGTCCCTAACAGAACTCGGAAGAGATATGGTTGAAATTATATGGAAAGAAGAGAAGCAGTGGGTAAAAATTGACTTTTATTCTCAGGTGAAATACTAAAATGGTTGAAATAATTCATTTTACCTACCTTTGCCTGCCCTCTTTCTTCTATTCTATGTACAAATCAAACGTTTATTTTGCTCCAGTGGTATTCACTCAGCCAATATTTGAATATGAAGGTGTTTAATTTTGATTTCTATCTCTGCGTCATCATACTGCTTTCAGAAATATGACCACCCTACAAACAAAAAAGGACATACGATTATTGAAGATAACTTTTAAATGTGTGTTTCTTTTATTCCATGGAAAGTATACTGTTTTTATGATACACTAAGACTTCTTCAATAAAAACACAATGCATTTATACCTTAGTGTACTAGTGGCTAGCTTGGCTTTACACTACACTGATCATGCAGAAAACCAACAAGACTCATTTGAGATTATCAAATGAAATGTTACTTTTTTTAAGTGAATGAAAAATTAGTCATTATTATTATTCTAGAAATCATTCAAACACTTCCAATAAACATTCTACAGCGTTCAACTCTTCACACACATATTTCATGTCATTTTAAAGCAGTAAAACTTTGACGATTTCTTATTGTTAGTGGACTTATTAGGTTCGAGATGCTCAGAGAAACAAATTCATCTCGTCGCTAAATGAGTACCGAGAGAATCATTCACAGATAAGCAGTTTGATGAAACTAATTACTCCGGATGTATTATTCTACAGCTTTTGGTAATTTTATTGCTTTTATTGTAAAATATGTTTATCAAGCAACTTATATTACTACGGAACTATGTAGAATTCAGAAGTGAGATAACACTCTTTGCCATAAAAATACAAGACACTGGTGTGTGTGACTATCTTGTTGAATGGATAAAAACTGATGCAAAAGAGATGCTTAAAGTAAATTATATTGCTTCTGGTTTGTTAAGCATTGAAAACGTTTTATTTTTAATCACACTATCTATTAAGGGGAATAAAACTTTAATTTCTTCTGAATGAACCTGGACTTTGATTCTCTCACTCTGTAATACTAGACAGTTTTTATTTAAGTGGAATGAAAAACTAAAGAAAAACTACCCATTTGTCAATGAAACGTTTGTGTAGTGCATCTAAACTTTCATATCACACCTTCGTTAAACAACCGTTTTATTTAATAGTTATTTCAATGCAGAATAAACTGAAAGGAATTAGTTAGAGGGCTGTTCAGTTACACTATCGATAATGACACAACGAAAGC